CTTCTGGTGCCAAGTTACGGGACATTTTCTGATTTTAAAATGACATTTTGTCTACGGTTAATCTCAAGAACGGTAGAAGATATAAATGTGAAACTTTTAGGGATTATAGATCGTGATATTTGCTATCCAGGACGCGACCTTTCGTTCGTCGTCACTACTTCCGGTCGTTAGGACAAGCGAATTAAAAAAAATGTATTTTCTAACTTTTTTGTTTTTCAATATTTTTCATTTGTATTTGGAATCTTAATAGAAACCCTTCCATTGATGCTTACTATATAATTTTTTTGAATATTTATAAATATAAACTCTAGATATTAGCATTTGAAAATCTGAAGCGAGTCCAATATGGCGGCTGTCTCTGTCCACTCCGACATTTCGCAATAGGGGTTTATGGAGGCAGCCGAGCGTTTGCTTGAACGAAAGTAACATAAGGATAAATGAAATATAAAGGTATACTTTGATTGTCACGTCGTACTTACGTAACAAACTTAAATTTAATCCAAGGTCTACTCAAACGTCTTCTATAATTGGTTTTGGTTAGTTGTCAAAGAAAGAAAGGACTAAAAGTGCAAATGAAATACGAAATTTTTGTTTTGCACGACGGAAAAACAGATCGTATATCATAGTTATAAGAAATAGTTTTTCAAGAGACAATATCGATGTATATCTGAAGTATAAAGCTTAACTATTGTTTTCCCATGCACACTTGTGTCAGATTATACAAACAGAAGAGAAAAATAAGAAAATCATATTTTAATAGATCGTTTAATGGAGTTTATATTTACATTCTTTTCTCAAAGATATTTAAAGCTATTGAACATGAATGGTATCTGGTTCCTTGACCGTCGTAGGGCGAGACATTTGAGGTTTTTCAGCGAACCATTTCTACCTTTTCAGTAAGGTGTAACTAATCGGGATAGTTAACTTTGGGGATAAACGGGAAATTTAAAATAGTTAAAAATGATAACTATCTCACGTCTTTAGTGTTATTTACCTACGATATAGAATATGTACAATGTGTTAAATATAGGCCTACTGTCTAAACCTCGAAATTTAGGCTATAAGAACGTTCTTTTTTTCTTAATTTCATCGAAGCTGTCACACCTATTTAATGGAACATTCCAAAGAAAAGGCGTGGAGATTTACTCGTGGCGTTTGGCGCGAAATTATGGATAGTGGCGCGCCTTTCAAAGTTCTTAGACAGGTGTATTGTTGAAGAAGTATATACAAAAACATTCTGAGCAGTTGACCCAGTAGCGTAATTTAAGCGCGTTGGGAATAAAAGAGAAAAAAGCGCGTTGGATTTTCACGCTTGCGACCTGGATTCAATCCTCTTTGTGGCAATTTTTTTTTTATCACTTTTCAGCTCGATTTTCGCGGTTTTTTTTTTTCCAGAATCGGACGGAAGACCTCTCGTTGCTCGCAACGAGATCGTTTCTAGTTTATGTATATTTTTGCATCTCCTGGCATTAAATAAAAACTTATAGCTTGGATAAAACTTTCTCCAAACGAAGTCCCTTTCGAACAGCAATTATGGAGAAAATTAGTGTACACAAACAAATTCATTCGTAAAACTCACATGAAATTTTAGATTTTGATATAATAAAAAAATTACAAAATTCAATAACATCAAAATGGACGACTTTTCAAAACTTTATACAACTACGAGGGGTTATCAAAAAGTTCGTAGACTGAGGGTATAAAATTAAAACCGCTTTAAGCACATCAATGAATGTTAAAATATTTAGTAAGCATCATCTTTTCTATCTAAAGAATAAACTATAAATCATAAATTTTATTTTTTAATAAATTAGTGATGTTTTTGTAAGCAATGGTATGTCCAGGCGGCGCAACCTCGAACACAACGTTTTTGCGACCTATGTGTAACTGAGAAAAATTCTTTTGATATGGTCATTTGACATCCAAAAATCCCGTTAAAACAGGTATGTGTCTGGACATAATTGTTCCATAAAATACAAAATTTTCACTTCATTCTGGAAGGTCTGTGAAATTTTACCGCAAATTTTACACGGAATGTCCAAACAAATGAGGCCTTGAAAATGACGTCAAAAGGGGGAGGGGTTTCCGTTTCCAACATGCTATAAAGTTTTGCCCCTGAAAAAAACTGGTATAGACCTAAAATATGTTGAAACTGGCCACAGAGAAATAAAATGCATCCAGAGTACTTGTCTTTTAATGTCAAAATAGATTCAGAGATAAAAGGGATACACAGTTAATGTCGATGTGCAGTCAAGGTGTGAAAAATCAATCACGTCAAAAAATGACGTTGATCATGCGTTGTAGATATTGAACTCCCAAAAGCAAAATATGCCGGCACAGTCAAGCTCGGATCTCTCCCAACGTATTAATCCATTTGGAATATTATATTCATTGAAGGCCACTGTTCATGACATTGTTAAGTCATATATACAAGGCAGGTTTAAGTCCTTACTCAGCTCTGGACAGGGTTTCTCATGAAGAAAGTATATGAGGAAGAAGAAGCTGACAATGAAAAACAATGACGTTATCGGACGTCATGAAAATAAACGACGACAGCGCCGGGTGATCATATATTGTCGTTTTCATTTTATAATAATTTGGAAAATAACGAACGTATCAGGCTAAAATTTTCAATATTTCTTTATTTTTTGTTGATTTATATTCCATATAAATTTTGGAAGCACAGACTACATAGTACTAATTTTATAGCATCAGTCCACGAACTTTTTGATAACCCCTCGTATATCCCTCGATGTTGTTCTGGTCGATACACTGACCTTAGTTGAAAATGCAACCTATCGTTCTGTAGAATGTTGATTGACGTTTTTTTTATATTTGGTAAAAGTAGAAGACCTTTATAATTATTCACACAGTGAATTGTCTATGAATTTAACTTTTGTTCGATCATGACAAAGAGCACATAGTGGATGTGATCGATCGAAGCGGGTTGCTTATTCATCCATGGCATCTGATCTTTCATCTGATGAATTTTTAATATTTTTTTTTTTTAGATTTCCGTATTTGCTCTGCAGTATGAACTGCAACTTTGATGACGGAATTTTTGGTTGAAGAATTGTAATTAACTATTTTAATAATAGAAAATAATAACACTTTTAAACTTTTGCCGTTCATATTTGCGATGGAAGAACTATTTATGTGCTTAGATTGAAGCAAAATTACATTGTTCTCGTCCTGCACAATATTGATTTCTTATATAATACTACACATTCCATTGCACAAAAATCATATTTCTGAAACAATTTAATGCTTTCTTTTAGTCTAACTTGTCATCAAGGTTTAAAGCAATATGAGCTGCATTTCTTTTAGAAAATTATTTTGCTGTTAAAATGTGTTATTATGATTAATGTGTATAGTAATTTAAACCCTTATGATTAGTAAAACCAAAATAAAATGAGAATAAACCTGAGGCGTACCACTAGGCAACTGCGACGAGAGAGAGAGAGAGACTACATTGCATTCAGTGCTTGTTATGTTTTTCAGAGTGACAGCGTATGGCCAAATAAAAGCCACTTAACCACAGAAGAGTTAAAAGAAATTTTCAGTTGCTGTGAGTATTAACAGGAAATGTAACCGTTTTCACCATCATCATCATCTTCATTATCATCATCATCAAATCATAATCATAACCAACATCAGCATCATCAACAACATCAACATCATAATCATCATTTTATCATCATCGTCAACATCAGCATCATGATAATCATCATCATCATCACCATTTAAGCGATGAAATACAATACTAAATCCAATATCATTTTATTTATATGCTCTTATCACAACCGTATACTAATACCTCCTTTATAGTTTCAGGTATTGGAGATATTTCCTCAGGTGAGTTTAAAATATTTTTTTTTTAATTCAAATGATAATTTTACAGTGTATTTTTATTCTTTTGATTGACATCTTAAACTTGTATAATTAGCTTTGATATGTTTTTGTATCTTCTTATGAACCAAACTCTGGATAACTTGCTTGTAAAATTTATGAATTCCAGAACAGACTGTAGCTTTATATGACTGTATGTACTAAAAGGGTTGTTTGTTCTCAAATATATTCTCAATGTTCATTTTTATTTAAAATCAAGCGAGTACTAGTTTATAATTTGTAATCTTTAGCTTTTGTTTCAGAGAACCGTGACACCTTTGGTACCTTATTTGTTCTTCCTAACGATGATTTTAACACAAGTATTTTCTGTTTAATTGGTGGATATGACTCTCAACACACTTTTTCCGGAAAAAAAATCATCATAAAGCAACATACCAAAACTGGGTGCGAGGACGTACTCCGTAGTATTGTTAATAATTCTATATCTTTAAATGCTACTTCTCCAGTGATCATTTTTATGAACCAAAGAGAACTATCTTTATCATGTCAGTACAAAGGGGTTGATAGCAACTATGATACAAATGTTTTTATTGTACCTCCCGTTGATATTTTAAGTACGGAATATATCGTTACTTTCCCACCTTTACCCCCTGATGATGCCGACAGTGAATGTTTGATTTTAAGTTTGTTTGACAAAACCTCATATGCTATACCACAGCTGAACGTATCCGATACAATACAAAGGATGCAACAAAAAAGAATTTCTTCTATGGCTACGGGAATGTTTATCGTCGCCAACAAAGTCATTTCAGTTTTGTGCTATATATACGACAGAAATAACCAATATATTATAAATCATCCCCTTCCCTCATCCGGAACTTATTTCCAATTGATGAAGTCCCGAAACGTCATAGAGGAAGAGTTCATAATGGTATCAACAGAAGGAAACACAGCATTGACATTTGACATGGGCACAATGGAAGGCTTGAACTACACACTGCTTCATAAGAGAAACGCTTTGTTGCAAAATATGGGCGAAAATGAAACTTATACATGGAAAGAAAATATTTCCATTTTGTTCATCACTGCCAACAAACCTGTGATTGTAGCGGTTTACTTTAGACAGAAAGAAACCACGTCGGATTCTACGCCGTATTGTTCAAACGGCACTAACTTTGTTTATGTTCCACCAGCATCAGACGTAACTTGGCAGAACGAAGAAAATAACAACATTTACCTGTTTCAAAACGGATGGCCATATAATTTTAAAATATCCACTAGAGAATACGTACGAATTTTTATTTTTTTTCTGTCATTTCTCAAATAATGAAAAAGGTTATTTGTGATACGTGTGATATTAAAATTGAATAGAAGTAAACTTTTAAACAGCTTCGTATTTGTCTAGATGTAACATTGTTGACATTTAATACAACATAAGACTGTCTATTTAACCCAAAGAAACTTTTCATTCTCTTTTCTTTCTCTTCTATACTTATCAACTAAAAAGGTATCCCCTGTTTTAGAATGACATTTTTCTCCAGCTTATGATTTCTATCCTCATGGCTACGAATAAAGTAAATGCAACTGTCTAAATAATCAAATTTCAATCGAAGATGCATTACATAGTCCACTTTTTAAATTCTCTGTTCAAGCTTCCAACGTTAAACCAGCTCCTCCCTGGTGACGAAGAAGACAACGATCAAGACGGTTTAGTAGATGAAGATAACTGTCTGTATTTTAAGGACGGTAAGACTAAATTCTACTCCTATATTACAGATTTCCTTTGATCAAATATTTTTGGTTTGGGGAAAATATAAATTTTTTTTGCTGGTATGATAATTTTAAAACAATTTGTGGAAGATTTGCATTTATGGGTCTCTTCATAACAGCTAAGCCAATTAGATCCAACGAAAACTATTGATAAAAAAGGTTAGTTTTTCATAACATTTAATTCATACTATCTCCTGCGTACGCTTAAATATTACTAAATTCAATATATCTATCTTTAGATTACAAAGCTGAAGTGCCGTCTGACCTTGACCTAGATGGCTCAGATGGAGAAGACTGTAAAGGTACGTTCTGAAATAGGAACTTTGTAGATATTAGTGATATAATTCTTGTCTGTAAGAATATCAAAATTAAGAATCATTGACGTTCTGTTTTTGTTTGAGAAAGTCTAGAAAAGGAATATTTGAAATTTTTGTCCGATTGATCGTCCAGATTTTAAAACTTTATGAAAACAAGATGTGTTTGTGAAACACAATGCGCCCGGCGGCAACAAAAATCGAAAAAGCTATTTTTAGCATATAAGCATAGGTAACATTCAAGGTCACAAGGTCATTGACCTTGGTGTCATTTGAAAGGACTTGATGAGTGGATTATGCACACCAAATATGAAGTCCCTATCTTTTATGGTTCAAAAATAATGGTGAAAGGTACGAAAAAGATATTTTTAGAATATAGGTCACAGTCAAGGTCACTAGGTCATTGACCTTGGTGTCATTTGAAAGAACTCTGTTAGTGTAGTAGGCATACTAAATATGAAGTCTCTATCATTCATGGTTCAAAAGTTATGGCGAAGGTTAAAAATTTCAGACAGAAAAGCTATTTTTAGCATCTAGGTCACATTCAAGGTCACAAGGTCATTAATATTGGTGTCATTTGAAAGCACCTAATTAGTGAAGTATGCATACCAAATATGAAGTTTCTACCTTTCATGGCTCAAAAGTTATGGCGAAGGTTAAAGTTTGGGGACAAACAAACAAACAGACAGACAGACAGACAGGACAAAAACAATATACGCCTCGGATCTATCGATCCGGGCGCATAAAAAACATATATTTATCTAACATAAAAAAGAGTGGAAATCATGTATATATTACTTATTTGTCTCAGACAAAAAGTCCAGAACACATTGATACAAAAGTCCTTACATATTGATCTGACTGAACAAGGTAGAATTAAATCATTGACATATTTGACTACAGGAACTATAGAATTGACTCTCTGAGATCCATGTCAGAAACTCTTACAATTTTTGTATAGCAAAAGGTCCAGAGTCGAAATTGTTGACATACATGTACATGTATTTGTCTCACAACAGGTCCAGAATATATTCATCAAATAGAGAGCCCAGCCAAAATGGAGAAATTTTATGTATTTTTTTGTCAGATAAGAAGGTCTACAGAAAAAAATCAATATATTTTTTTTTTACTTTTTCAACAGGAGGAAGATTAGAAATCATTGACATAAATTGTTTGAAAGAGATCAAAATTAGAAATCAATAATATGTTAATATTCATTTGAGAGATGATTCAGATTAGAAATAATTAAAACATTTGTCTTTAAGAACGCCCAATGTACATAGATATCATTGATATATTTTGTCTTAGAAAAATGAAATTGAATAGAACTATTGAAATATTTGCCCTGCAGAAGGCCCAAGTAAGAAATTCAACTCGATATTTTGATATATCGTACATATTGTCAATTAACAATGGTAATTTCCATTCTTAAGTCGATACAATATATCCTGTTGGTCTTGAGATAAACGATACCATAGAGTCTGACACATCTGTTTCATATTTGGATATTTTACTTGCAAAAGATGTTGATGGTAATCTAAAACCAAGGTTTATGATTTAACGTGATGACTTTAACTTTTCTATCGTCCACTTTCCTTACTAATGCAGCAGTATACCTTCATCACCTGTACACGGAGTCTCGATATGTCAGTTGCATCGATACACAAAAACATGCTCTATGTATGAACAATTTTTAAAACAGGGTAAATTTTCGACAAAGATTGATTGATTGATTGTATACTGTTTAACGTCCCTCTCCAGAATATTTCACTGATATGGAGTCGTCACCATTGCCGGTGAAGGGCTGCAAATTTAGGCCTATGCTCGGCACTTACGGCCTTTGAGCAGGGAGGGATCTTTGTCGTGCCACACCTGCTGTGACACGGGACCTCGGTTTATACGGTCTCATCCGAAGGACCGCCCCATTTAGTCGCCTTTTACGACAAGCAAGAGGGTACTGAGGACCTATTCTAACCCGGATCCCCACGGGGCTCGACAAAGAAGAATAAAATAAGAATATCAGTAATCTCGTTTAAGTCATCATTTCGTAAATTCTATAGTCGATACAATGACCTTCTCAGTAAATACAATTTATCATTGAGTCAAATGATAAACGGTGGACAAAAGTATCCAAACGATTTACGTTGGTTTACGTATGAATGCAAATGTTGGCGTTATTTATAGCTGGCATTTTCGGTGTAGACACGATTTAATGCTACACTTTGAATATTTTTAGATTGATTACTACTTCCTGTTAACATTAAATACGTCATTAATTATCGTCTGCAATCTAAAAGTAAGTAAAATCTGCCCCAAAAAATCATGGCTGAGAATAGTCATCGGATGGTCTTAAAAAATCCGTTGTTTATTAATTCAAAATGGAAATTCTTTTCAAAATAATGGACATGCTTAAATGTCTGAAACAAATGTGCACCGAATTTAAAGAAATTTTTGTGAACAAGGCATTCTATGGCCAGTTATAGCAAGACACTTTCCAGACAATAGATTATAGATACGTTTTCAAGATGATAATTCATCGTTCTAGGGCAAGGAAAGCTTTTATGGAAAACAACCATATCAATACAATGGAGTGGCTGGCGCAGAGCCCTGATATTAGCATCATAGAAAATTATTAATCTAAACACTGAAAAGACGACGGATTTACCCGCTATTTTCCGAACATACGGCAGGTGTGACCGGTCGGTAGCGGTATGAGATCATCTATGGCATCATGATCTGATCCCATCTCTAATGTTTTGGGAATCCGTGTTAGGTGTCTGCTCCTAATATGTATTGTTTAATGGACTTTTGATCTTGAATGCTGTTCGTTATCTCTAGCTTCAGATATGTAGTGTTATGGTTTTATAATTTAATTTTGTTTATATTCTCGAAACTCATTGGTTGATTTCCAAAAAGGAACGCAAAATATTTTGTATAATCTGGTTTGGTATGGGGACACACCCCTTGACGCCCAGCTTAATCATGAGAAGGATATGGAGATAACGAACAGTATTCAATCTCAAAGTCATTAAAACAATACAAAATAAGAGAAGAGTAAACACGGACCCCCGAAACATCAGATGTGGGATCAGGTGCCATGGAGAAGTGAGCATCCCATGCCGACCGGTCACACCCGCCGTGTGCTCCTTGTCATGATCAGGAAATAACGGAAAAAATCCGTCGTCAATTCAGTGTATAAATAATGGACTAACAATTGGTATGAAAAACGTCAGTCAGCATTTGACTCAATGATAAATTGTATTTGCTGACAAGGTCATTGTATCGACCATAGAACTTACGAAATGATGACTTTAAACGAGACTGCTGATATTCTTGTTTCATCAACTTGCCTGTCAATAATTTACCTCGTTTTAGAAATTGTTCATACGTAGAGCATGCTTTTGCGTATCGAATCAATTAAGATATATATACTCCGTATTCAGGTGATGAAGGTATATTGCTGCATAAGTAAGGGAAGTTGACGATAGAAAAGTTAAAGTCATCACGTTTATCATATAGCTTGGTGGTTGTTAGATAACCATTAGTGTCTTTTTCAAGTAAAATATCCAAGTATGAAGCAGAAGTGTCGGACTCTGTGGTATCCTTTATCTCAAGCTCACCAGGATATATCGTATCGACGTAGGAATGGAAATTGTCATTATTAATTGACAATACGTCGTCGATATATCTAAATGTCGAGTCTTATCCATTTTATCCATGCAATCCCCTCATTTCCAGTCCTCGGAATCCATGGAAAATTCAAGATTTTATAACTGTATCTTTAACTTCAAACACTAACTCGATCTTACCTCATGTTAACACACATCATGGCTGCTAGATCTATATATCATTTATTACCTTCCCTTGCTTCACATCACTTCCGTTACTACGGTTGTATTATTGTGCGGTAAATTTGAACTCGTAAAAAGCAACACAATTTTACATCCAAAGTTGGTTAATTATTTTAAAGTTGAATTATAAGGAATGACTCTAATTCTTGGCCAAATTATCGAGTTTAATCTGGTTTGGGTCAGTTTACGCTTTTTTATAATCCGCTTTGCGGATTATAAAGCGTAAACTGACCCAAACCAGATTATACTCGATAATTTGGCCAAGAATTAGAGTCATTCCTAAAATATATTTGTCATTGACCATAACCTATAAATGGTTGGGAGGTGGATAAAATATATATAATTGCTACAGAATGTGTCTAGAATTGGGGAGTGAAAGTTACTTGATTGACCAATGCTAGAAAGTGGAGAAATTCTCCCCAAAAGTGCGAAAAAATATTGCGACGTAAATTGCACCTTTTTTGCATTACGGTTCCCCTGTAGCGTTATGGGCAAAGACAAATATATACAAGCTAATTCAGAGAAATTGTGTCCCACGCTTAGGGGAAAAGTAAACCATGCGCAGTTCGGGGGGAAGGGGGTGGGGGGGGTCGGATACTCCTGACTGATTTTGTAGAATTATTAAATGTATACATGTATACTGAAGCAAATAAAATATGTCAATATGGATATAAAGATTTGATTGCTTATTCTTAATTATGTGTATAGAAGATTCTTTTTGTCCCCCGCTTGAAAAGTGGGGGATATTAATTTGGGTCTGTCTGTCTGTAACGCTTTCGTTTCCACAAATATCTCAAGAACCCTTTGAGCTGTCGCAATGAAATTATGCATAGGACCTCCCTATGGACTAAAGAAGAACCCTATTGATTTTGAGGTCAAAAGGTCAAAGGTCAAGGTCATGAATTCGCAAATTCTGTCTGTTATAACATTTTCGTTTCCGCGCGATATCTCGAGAACCCTTTGAGCTTTTGCAATGAAATTTTACATAACAACTCCCTGTGGCCTAAGAAGGACCCCTATTGATTTTGAGGTCAAAAGGTCAAAGTTCAATGTCCTAAATTTGTATATTCTGTCTGTGTGTAACACTATCCTTTCCGGGCGATATTTCAAGAGGATTTTGAGTTTTTGCAATGTAAT